AGACAACATTTAAGCAAATTATGTTTGTTGGATGTTCTCATTAAGAAATTAACTAGAACACTGTCGTGTTTGGCTTTGAATGTACAAGTCTCGCGCTTTTCGAACGGGAAGTTTAGTCCTAACGTGATTTGCGTTTATCAAACTTTTGCTGTGTTCTTACGCAACAAAAGTACCATTTCAGTTCTAAAGAATCTATCCTGAGCTATACGTTCGGTAGATTACTTTTTTTGAGTTTCACTATATTTAATAGTTACCTGTGGTTTTGCCTCAGCTTACTATTCGGTTTTTTTTGTTTTTCACGTATAGACTAGTTTCAGTTTATATCACTCGTTTTGTCCATTTTTGTCCGTTTTCAGTGTGCTTTTTAGTGTTTTTTTAAAAAGGTCTTAGGCTCTTGCAAGCATCTATAACATAATTTGCTTCAACACCGTCATGAAAAACTCATGCAAACGTCCGGGATGCCGTTTTGCTGTCACAACTGGCATGCAGTGCGACAACTGCAAAGGTTGGTTCCACGAAGCATGCACAGATCTGACAGCAACTGCTTACAACAGACTCAGCAAGTCAGAGCAAAAGTGGGTGTGTGTCACGTGCAACACAGACTCCGTAGTCTTGCTGAGTAACATCATTGTCCTACTGACAGGTCTTCGGAACAAGCTATCAGTTAACTTGGAATACGATAGTAAAAAAACCGATATACAAACAAGAGCGTGCAACGGACTCAAAAACAGGGATGTCGATAGGTATTCCATCGATGGAGCATCCATCAACACTAATGACGACGTGTCGAGGCTCAGTACCATCATTACGTCGACGGTACTAGACTCCCTAGGCAAACTCGGGTCTCCCAGCTCAGGGTCCCTGAACACAACAGTGGTTCCCAAAAACCCTGCAGGTGATTCGACCCACGTTAAGAGAGCCCAAAAGAACCAGGCATCACCGCCTAAGCCGAGCAACCCAAGTGTTGCTGCACGGAAAATAACTGGTAATTTAGTCGCACAGTCTACCCCCAAGACTGTTCGTCCGGTCAATAAAGAGCCCATGATTCATAAACGCACACTGACCTCCAAACAACAAGTTACTAAACCTGAACCCATCGTGAAACCTGGTAAATTAACAACAGTTCGTGACGACTCTCTCATTATCATGAACCTCGTTGACAATCCTGATCTTCCTCTCAGTCTGCAGGACAAAAACGATAGGATGCTCTGGGGTGAATTGAACAAGAAGCTCGAACTTCCTAGAATAGAGCCTTTGACGGTCACCCGGCTCACTCGATGAAAGGATTCTAAGCATCTAAATCACCCGAGGCTTCTCCGAGTAACACTTAAGGCTGCTACCGACGTAGAGGACGTCTTGCTAGCAAGCCACTTGCTGAAATCAGATGGTAACGTAAGAATACTGCCCGATATACCGTACTCTGAGCGCAGTATCATACGAAACGTCCCTAAAGAATCTCGCGAGAAGTTTTTCCGCGGAAGAAACATAATTGTCCAAGGTATACCGGAAAATGAAGACCCTACTCAATCAAATTCTGACATCAGGGAATGGAAATTCATCAAACAGTCCTTGAGGCTCAAACACATACTGACTCAGCATGTGACGAGACTAGCCAAGAAGGACGGTGATCTTAGACCTCGTCTAATCAAGATAACCTTCCCATCTTCCCACATGGCGGCTGCAGTTCTGGAAGCATTTCGTGCTAATAGACGTCGATTGCCACCTGGAATCCACATGCACCCGGATAGGCCATACGAAGTTAGGACCGAGAACAAAGACAAGTTGGAGCTGACCATTCCACTTGTGGACTGTCTAAACGATAAAAAAACGTGTAAAGGACAGGGCCTACCACCTCGGCAAACCTCATATAGGTGGGCTACCTGTCCATTCACATAAGGTTCATACAGAAAAACAGGACGAAGCTCACGCGTTCCAAATAGAAAGCATAAACTGCTTATATATGAACGCCGCGAGTCTACCAAACAAACTGGATGAACTACGTGAACTTAGCAACGCTAATAAGGCCCATCTGATAGGAATATCTGAAACCTGGATATCTTCTCAGTTCTCGGACCAAGAGTTAGCACTGCCTGGGATGACTTTGTTCCGCAACGACAGAAAAACAGGAATTGGGGGCGGAGTAGCCATATACATAAGCTCTTGCTTGGAGGTGCACCAGGTTCACAACCTCGAGTTTAACAATCTTGAGGAATCCATATGGTGCTCTGTAAGATTGTCTAGTACTTCCAGGTGTCTAGTCGGAGTCATTTACAGGAAGCCAACTGCCGACACCGAGTACGATAGTCGTATGCTGGAAGGACTATCCCGCTCTATCCGTCTCGGTTTCACACACATCCTGATTCTAGGGGACTTTAATCTCCCTAGAGTCAACTTCGAGGAACACACGTACACTGGAGGCGACAACTCAATTGAAGCTCGGTTCTTCAACCTCATCGATGACTTGGGCTTATATGAAAATGTGAGGTCGGCAACTCGTTGGAGAAACAGTCAGACACCATCGCGCTTAGACTGTGTATTCACTAACGAAGAATTCCTAGTCGACAACCTCTCAATCCTGGCTCCTCTGGGAAAAAGCGATCATGCCGTCATAGCCTTCAGTTTTGTCATCAAAACTAAGCTAAGGTATCCCAACAATAATTTGCGTTGGAATTTTAAACGGCTGAATGTGTCAGCTCTACATGACTATCTACAACAGGTGGTTTGGGATGTTCACCCTCAACTCGATGTGGATGGTCATTGGGACTTCTTACTGCACACGCTCTTATGTGCTACAGACCATTCAGTTCCTCAAACGGTTCCCAAAAGCTTCAAGCCACCTACAGTAATCAAGAACCGTACCCTTCGCCTCCTAAGCCGCAAACGGCACTGTTGGGCGGAATACAAACGAACTAATAACGATGGAGCGTATAGGCAATACAAACATATCAGGAACATATGCACGAAGGCTATAAGAGAAGACAGGCTTCAGTACCAAACAAAGCTTATGGACAAATTCGCCTCTAACCCTAGAAGCCTATTCCGTTATGCAGCCTCTCTTCGTCAAGCCAAAACAGGAGTTTCTCAACTGCTAGGTCTTAACGGCCCGACCAACAACGATGGCGACGCCGCTAACCTTCTGGCGGCCCATTACTCTCAAACATTCCAACCGGCTGACATCAACTTTATTGACGACAGTTTCATCTGCAATTCCACAGGACTTTCTAAAGTGGACCTAAGCGCTGACTTGGTGTTCCGGAAATTGCAGCACTTAAGACTTGACACTTCTCCTGGCCCGGATATGGTTCATCCTGCCATACTGAGGGAGGCAGCCTCAATCCTGGCAACGCCGCTTAGCGTGATGTTTTCACACTCGCTTAGCCGAGGCAAACTACCGGAAAACTGGAAGTTGGCTCACATCACACCAATTTTCAAAGGTGGTCGACGCAATGAACCTTCAAGTTATCGGCCGGTGGCTCTTCTGTCATTACCTTCAAAACTCATGGAGTCCCTGATATGCGACGGTTTAAATGACTATCTACTGTCCTTAAATTTCTTCTCACCCCAACAGCATGGTTTCAGGAAGGGTTACTCTTGTATAACCAACCTGCTGACTGCGGTGGACAAATGGACAAGCATCCTCGATTGCAAGGGAAAGGTTGACGTCATTTACCTTGATTTCTCAAAAGCTTTTGATAAGGTTAACCACTTGTGTCTTATCAACAAGCTCAAACGACTAGGTATCAAACCACCTCTAATCGATTGGCTTACTTCATACCTAAAAAATCGACACTTTAAGGTTAGGGTTAATTTCACTTTATCTCAGGCTATGGAATGTCCTAGTGGGGTTCCCCAGGGCTCAGTACTAGGGCCTCTTCTCTTCTTGATCTACATAAATGATCTTCCTCAACAGGTAACGTCAGACTTACTACTTTTTGCCGACGACGTGAAACTTTGGAGAGAGATACGCAACCAAGTCGATACACAGGCACTTCAGGAGGATCTGACGCGACTTCAAAGTTGGGCAGACGATAACGGACTTACCTTTAACACTTCAAAGTGTAAAGTAGTCCATCTGCGACATGTCGCAAACTACAGTTACAACTTAGGAAACTCCTCTCTAGTAGTATCTCAAGTCGAAAAGGATTTAGGAGTCCTGATGCCCCATGACTTAAAGTCTTACGCTAACTGTGACAAAAATGCCTTCCGAGCAAACCTTGCACTGGTAACGTTGAAGCGCATTTTTGGACAGTTTGACGGACGAACTTTCCATACAATCTTCAATAGTTTCATCCGTCCCCATTTAGAGTACGGAAACATAGTACTCCCCCCTCACTCCAAAAGGACAAGGTCACTTTGGAGCGTATCCAACGGCGAGCCACGAAATCAGTTCGAGGACTCAAATCTGTAGTGACTCACATTTATCACGAGAACACGACTGGTTTAATAAAAACAATTATTATTATAACCAAGTGTACCAGTGACTGTTTTAACGTGCTTTTGTTTGACTGTGCTAATGACAGCTATTTTCTGCTTCCATTCTTTTACACACACTTTAATTGTAACTTCGCGTGAATTCGGTTACGTTCTGTAACCAAGCTTGTATCCTGGCACGATCTCGGTATCCTTTCGATGCCACGAGATCGCCAGCTAATAAACCTCGACTTGGTCCATTAATTGCCTTCTGGTATTCGGCTTCTCGGGGATTTTATGGAGTCATTTGGAACGAGCTTCTGATTTATCTGGCACGTGTTTCTTGGTAGTGGTGTTCATAGTTAATCTCGACTCGACGCCACGCTACAATTGGTAATCCCAATTCGACTACAATTGGTGAGCCCGACGTGATGATGAATTCCACGCTTTATTCGAGAAATGTTACCCTATTAACGATTCTCCTCGCTGACCCGGCTGCTTGGTACGGAATGCATACGCATAAGCATATCCGTCTACCACCCAGCACCAAATGGTTAAGTTGAACGGTTTCACTGCCAACTTAAAAGTGTTCTACGAGCACACGAAAACGGCAACTGGCACGAAACCATACCGCTCGTTCTTTTAGGGGCGAGAACGAGTTTAAAGGCAGATATCCAATGTTCCGCCACTGAACTTGTATACGGCACGACATTGCGTCTGCCCGGAGAATTCTTCACACCACGGAGCAGACCTAATTTCGGTAAATCAGACTACGTCCATCGACTGTCTGCATTTATGCGAACGCTGTCTCCGGTGTCAACTCGAATACAACATCGACAGGTCGCTCTCCCTCGAGAGTTATCTACCTGTTCACATGTTTTTGTACAAGTAGATTCGGTACGCAAACCTTGGCAACAACCTTACGAAGGCCCTTTTCACGTGATCGCTCGTCACGAAAAGACCTTCAAGGTTGATCGATATGGACGCGTCGAGATCGTCAGCATTGATCGTCTCAGACCAGCACACGTCGATGACAGTGCCCTATCTGACACCCTGAGATTCAATGCTAGACCTATTAAACCTAGCGGGATCCTTAAATCTTCTTCAGGTCCCACGCTAGATGCATCTGAGACCTCATTCTCACGTCCCGGTCAACAGCACGCGTCATCTGCACCGTCTACGGACGAGACGACAGTCTCACGTCCAGATCAGCAGACCACGCCGCCTCTGACCTCGGATGAGATTGCAGGCTCACGAAATACGAACGAGACTGCCGTCTCACGTTCCGGTCGCCGAGTACGGTTACCCGTACGCTTCCTCGATTAGTCGCACAGTCGACAACCGATACGGTGTAGGATTATTCCTATACTACACGTATGCTACACTCTTCTTTTTTTGATTTTCTTTTTGTTTCCTGAGCCCACGCCTTCGACCATCCCCGTTTGGTTCCGTCGACTTCAGTCAACTTTGGCGAAAGCTGGCCTGATCACCCATGCTCTTGTCAACGCACTCAGTCGATATATTGGTTTCGAATGCTTGGCACACGCTTGGTCACGAACTTGGTCGTAACGGTCGCTTCTGGTCTTTTGGCTCAACGTGGTTTCGTCCTACGTCTGCAGCGTTTCTGGTGCGCACCTCTACGAACGCCCTCTTCAGATTCTGGATACAAACCACTCTGGTGTAGCATGCCAACTCAAGCAATAAATACAGCACATCGCACCTGGTACCGTTCTCCGAAAACGACCTTCGTTGGCAACTCGACGATCAACGATCGCTTTCCTGTTCGCCAATCTTTCCGTCCTACAATCGCTCGTCAGCCGATCAGTCCCACGATTCAAACCGCTATTTATCGAAAGTGTTAACCCTTTCTAGTGGGGGGCTCCTGTAGTGACTCACATTTATCACGAGAACACGACTGGTTTAATAAAAACAATTATTATTATAACCAAGTGTACCAGTGACTGTTTTAACGTGCTTTTGTTTGACTGTGCTAATGACAGCTATTTTCTACTTCCATTCTTTTACACACACTTTAATTGTAACTTCGCGTGAATTCGGTTACGTTCTGTAACCAAGCTTGTATCCTGGCACGATCTCGGTATCCTTTCGATGCCACGAGATCGCCAGCTAATAAACCTCGACTTGGTCCATTAATTGCCTTCTGGTATTCGGCTTCTCGGGGATTTTATGGAGTCATTTGGAACGAGCTTCTGATTTATCTGGCACGTGTTTCTTGGTAGTGGTGTTCATAGTTAATCTCGACTCGACGCCACGCTACAATTGGTAATCCCAATTCGACTACAAATCTAAGCCTTACGAAGAACGCCTCCGTTCACTAGACCTTTACCCACTAGAATATAGGCGTCTTAGAGGTGATTTACTAATGGCTTATAGTATTCTTAACACTTCTGGACATCCTCTTAAACACCTACTTAAGCTTAGTTCGAATAATAACCTAAGGGGTAACACCCAGAAACTGGAAACACAACATAGCAAGACGGAATGTAGACACAACTTCTACTCCTTAAGAGTTGTCAAAAGCTGGAATTCGCTGCCGGCCGAGCTAGTCCAAGCGACTTCTCAGGAGTCCTTCAAGAGGCAACTTGACCTATTCTTAAGGACCAAGGACAGCATCACATTATGATTTACCAATTTCTTTTCCTTTTTTATTGTTAACATACCTAGGTTCCTGCCTGGAGGATTTGGTGATCCCCTGCTACTAGACACGGAAGCCTGTTAAGCGAAAGCTTCTTCTATTCCGTCCACAACCATTTGAACCATTTGAACCATTTGAATCCCAAAAACCCGCTGCCATCAGACTTCTGAAGGTCGATCGCTTTAGGTCTAAGTAACTGCTTTCTAACTTGTTGCTGCTACTCCGCTTGATTCCCAATAGAATCTTCTGCTTTTTCTAGTACACGTGCACAAGTGCACCACGTATATGATACACATATAGATAATATTATGTCTATGGATTAATTGTAATTGCCTGTACCAACTGAAGGACTGGTCTGAAACGTCCGCACGTGTATATGTATCAGACAGTACGAAGATTCTCAAAGATATTTTTACAAAACAATAACAACTTTAGTAAATAGCTTTTTATATTATTGCTTTTTAACATGTATTATATATATAATACATAGATATCTTCTGTTCCTCCCTTGGTATGGTGTTCACTTTGAATATCAGAAGACAAACTAATTTGATAAAAGTTTAGTCTTTAACACAATAGACTATTGCTGGTAAACCATTTTCCCCATGATTTGAACCATTCTTCTCCACAGTAATACATGTAATAATAATAAACTTACAAGCTAAATCCTAAGTTCAATATTGTTCGCATCTGCTGGGATCACTGGATAAGTAGGCGATAAGTAAAAGTGAGGTTGGATGTATGGTATTAGAGAATGGTGATAAATCAGTTGATGATTTTGTGAATCTTCATCAATTGAGATAGTTGGGCCACGTGTTACGTATGCCCGACCACCGTTTACCACGGCGCGCAATGCTGACTAGTGTTGGGGATGGTTGCAAGAAAGTTAGAGGCGGCCAAACCAAAACATGGCATGAGTCCATAAAGTCACTAACTTATGGTCTGAGTCATGTTGGTAGATGCAGACTACTTGGTTGGGGTCAGTGTGACCATCATAACCAGTGGTTAGAGACTGGCTGAAATGGCTTAGAATCGACCACAATGGCGTAAGTGTATGCACTCTTTGTCTTCTCTTAAACCGTGAAGTTAGAATCGCTTTATACCTTTCTTTCTACGAAATAATTCTTTGTTCTTTTATTGTATCCTTATGCACCATCTTTTTTGTATACATTACTACCATTGATGTAACTAATATGAATTTGATGTTCATCTTGTTGTGCTAACGAGGTATAGCAACTTGAACCGATGTATATATGTGCCTGGTCCTACGTTGAAGCTGGCTGACTAAGTCTAATGTTTCAGCAACATATCTTGCAAATTTAAGGCTTTGTTTTCCATACGCATCGCTGATATCCAGTTCTATATGCAATACGAATTATTCACAACATGCTTTCTTGAAGTTTTTACCTATGAAATATATTGACATATTTCAAAGTCAGGCACAATAAAATGAAGATCCTTCATTCAGAAAATCCCCACTATAGTAGCGAATTACCAACTAATTTCTAACAATTGGGGTTTTAATTGGTCTTTGAGAATGTATTGATCTTTTCGTAATGACGTCTCATTTCATCTGTTCTCTCTAATACGGCACTATTCTTATAACAGGATGTGGTTAATAATGTAAAACCCAATTTAATCAGTCCTAAATCCCTGTTTTCATGTGTAACTCTTCTCTGCTTTGCAAGTGTTTTGTTTTTCGAAGCATATAACATGCAATTTGCATTTTAATCTAGGGGCTTAATGTCTGCTGTAGTTACTAACTTTTCTCCGGTCTCCAACAAATTTACTGTTGCTCTATGTGTACTGAATCAGTGGGCGCTTGACTTTAGTGGAAATACTAGACGTGTAATCGAAAGTATTAAAACTGCTAAACGCTTGGGGGCTAAGTATAGAGTTGGCCCAGAACTAGAGGTCTCAAGTTACGGATGTGAAGATCATTTTCATGAATTGGATACCTATACTCATTCATGGCAATGCATTGCAAAAATATTGAGTGAAACAAATGAAAATGTTGAAATGCAAGATATTGTTTGTGATATTGGAATGCCAGTTTTACTGAGAGGTGTGGCTTATAACTGCAGAATTCTTTTGTTAAATGGGACTATTCTATTGATACGACCGAAATTAGTCCTCGCAGATGAAGGTTTGCACAGAGAGTCTCGTTGGTTTACGCCTTGGCCTCATCACCAGAGAATCATTGACTTTGAGTTGCCCGAAATAGTCCAGAAAGTAACCAAGAATTCTCAGTCAGTAGCAGCTTTTGGTGATGCTATTTTACGATTTTCTGGAAATGGCTATTCTGAATGTGTACAGATAGGCTTGGAAACATGTGAAGAGCTTTGGACGGGAACACCACCTCATATTGATATGTATGCGGCTGGTGTGGATGCTGTGCTCAATTCCAGTGCCAGTCACCATGAACTGAGAAAACTAAGTAGAAGAATAGAACTAGTGAAATCTGCCAGCACAACGAATGGTGGTGGGTTCTATGCGTATACAAATCTTAGAGGATGCGATTCTGGGAGAGCTTGTTACGACGGTTGTGCATTAGCCGCAGTTTCCGGTCAGCTAATTTGTCTGAGCCCACAGTTTGGATTTGGGGATGTCTCTGTTGAAACTGTCACTGTTTGTCTGAATTCACTGAGATCAAAGCGAATTGCCAGTCGTTGTTTTGGGCGTGCGGCTGCAGCTAGTGCAGCTGCGAAATCCGATGCATTTGGCATTACACACAGTTGTTATCCAGTTGTTAAGGTACGATTTTCTTTCGTTTAACGCACTGGGCAAGATACCAAAGCTCTGTTGTTTTTATTATGTCATTCATTTATTTTTATTATGATCTAGGAACCTACATAACAATATAAGTACATAACTTAAAGGTTATAATTTGAATATCTTTATCATCTGCGAAGTAAAATACAATTCAAGAACGGTAAAACATGAAAAGAGATATCTCGTTAGTTATAATTGCTTAGATTGGAAATTCATTGGTCAGTTATCAGTGATTAGTAGTATCATACCGATTATATGCATATTCTAAGCCATTACCGACCACAAGCCATTTCGGCTATATTCTTGAACGATCGATCGCACTTACTATTGGAAAATATTAGATTAAGCAGTAATTATAAGTTAATGAAACATTATAAATCCAAATAACTAATCAAGTACAGGATCATGCACTTTAATTTTGGCCCTATCTTTATATGAAAGCCGAAGATTCGAACCATAGACATGGATTGTGTTGTGTTTGGCAAGAGTCAAACTTGTGAAAGATAATGATCGGACCACCGAACAACAACTCCGAAGCAATTATCGGGCTTCTGAAATTAATTCAGATATCTGTTTCATTAAAAATCGTACATAGATTAGTGTTCGAAGTTTTCATGAAAATAAACTGGAGAACACTAAAACTTCAAGAACAGTCACAACACGATATAAATTATTTGACGGCTTGTAATTCATGTAACGGAGTTTACATATTAAGCACGCCAATTGTCTATTCATATTATTAACTGGAATGTAGCGTTTGCAAATGGTGAACAACTTTCTGATGTTCATCATTAGTTTATCCCTAACTTTTTGTCATTCAATGTACCATAAATAGCTAGGTTGAAACTTTAGTTGAAGAAATTAGTTTGGTTGCCTATATAGTGCTTTTGTTTATCTACAAAATATTCGATCTCCATACAAGCAAATAATGCTCTACATCGCTTTTCATCAATAGCTGTTTCTCCCATCAGAACACTTTATGATTAAGCAAAAGTGTGAATTCTGATAAATTTGTTCTTTAATTTATAACATCTGCCTAGATCATTTTCATTTGCAGGTTGATTTCAATCTTTGCCATATTGACCATTGGCCTGATCAGTCCTTACAGCCTCACGTTGATACTCATATTCCCTCACCTCCAGAAGAGATTTCTTATGGTCCTGCATTATGGTTATGGGACAATTTACGCCGAAGCAAGTCTTCAGGATTTTTTCTTTGCCTGAGTGGAGGTTTGGACAGTGCAGCAGTTGCGTGTATTGTGTTCAGTCTTTGTAATCAAGTAATTTCATTAAAAAGTGTCGTTTTAGTAAAGGCTATGTTTAATCATTTCTATTTCACTATCACAGTGTGGAGATATAGTGATTCACTTTGTAGCAGAGTGTTATGTTTATTTATTTATTTGAACACAAACATTGGTACAACGAGGGTACCAAATACGTATGCGCTACACAATAACAATGGGGCCATTAGCAGTTATCATTGATTTGTGTGAGGGCTGTAATACTGTACGGGCGCTAAAATCGAAGTAGGAGTAGAGTGTTATGCTAAAAAGGTAGGAAAAATAAGCCATTCTGAAGTTCCATTAATGTGCAGTTTGTGGTAAAGTTATCCCGAATGTAACTGCTACTTTAATGAGACGTTTTAATCTTTCTTTTATGACGATCCAGTGGGGTTATATTGGCTAAAACATTTATTTTTTGAGGTCCTAACGTACCTAGCAGGTAGTCAGCAAAACAATAAGACTAAAAGTAGCACATTTAAAATCTGACAGTAGAGTCGTACTCCCTATTGTAACAAGATATGGCGAAAGGAGTGTTTTTCCAACGCAACCAGCATCTCTAGCAATACTATTGTCCCACAAACAAACAGATGTTTACAAAATATATCTATCATCATCTCTAACTTGGTTTGTTTGTTATTGTAAGTTTGGTCTCAAATGTAATCTGAGATATTTAATGACCATTATATACCATGATAATCGTGTTTGATTCAATAAACTGTTGACTAACTTATTAATTTGAGGGAGTTTAATGATTAACTTAAGGACTTCTGATCAAGGGTATTCGTTTATATTATTCTGCTGTCAAAATTCAACCAATTGATCAAGTATTTCACAGTATGGTTGCTTAACAATAAGTAACAAACAAATCCATAAAATGATATTTGAAACTGCTTCATTTTTACTACACGTAATATTTCCACAGACTTTAATTCAAGGGATGTATTATATTATTATATATACTACTATAGTTAGTATTATTATTATGCATTTGCTGAAGTGAAATACATATGTTTATTTTTTCTTTCATTTTAGATTTTTCAAGCTATAAGACAAGGTAATATGTCCGTTACGCACGATTTACGAACTCTATTGAATGAGTCGGATAAATATATCCCTGATAGTGGTCGTCAATTATGTTCTCGTCTACTAACAACTTGTTTTATGTCAAGTGAGAACAGTTCTGCGCTTACAAGATCACGTGCTAATCGCTTAGCTAAACTTTTAGGTTCAAATCATTTAGAAGTAATTAAATTTCAATCTCTTTTACATTACTCCGAAAATTGATCCGATAGTTTTAAAACATCTGTCATTTTAACGAGCTTGTTTTTTATGCAGTGTATTCTGAAACAAAAAACACCATTATTACCTATAGAATTAAATTAAAACGAAGAAAAAATGGTGATACAGCAAAGATTTACATTACATGCCTGAGTCAATCGGAGAACCAATAAAAACCTGGAAGGAGTGGACATTTTGTTTATTTCGTACCCTCAAAGTCTTCAGGAGTGGGTATCACATACTTACTCAGGATAAAAACCAGACCCTTCAGATCACTCTTTCAACCCGACTTTTTAAGACTAGTAAGTCGGTACCCAGTGCTTTTCACTTTCTGGAGATCTTTGCTCCAGCTTCATGTGAAGCTGTATCTCTCAGTTGCTTCAAATCAATTTAAGCCAGTTATTCTGGGCTGCATCATCACCATCTTAAAATTGAAAAATTCCCACAAATAAGCTGTTTAAATAAGATTTATATCTTGTTACTGAGTACTATTTGTTGGTAACTGATAACAAAGTTCGGTTAACGCATTTCGTTTTATTTAAAAACTCACCAACGGGGCGTATACATCATCTCTTGAGTTCTAATTCTCGTATTCACACTTGAATTCAAAACCCAAGGTTTTACCCACTAAGTTATTAGTTTGTTTGAATTAAATGGTTTAACTAATCACCATCAACGTAAGTTAATAAGGTAACCAACTATATTATATCGTCATTATGATAAGCAGGTCGATAAGTTATTCTTTGGTATTGATCAGGTTTGTATAGGTTAAAGAATGTAATGTAATCACTTAGCCAAGTGATAAAGTTCCATTATGCAAACCTCTTTATTATTATGTAGCCTTAAAATTGCTTAATATTAAAATTTATTTTTAATTCTAACATTATGTATAATTCGTAGTCCGATATTACACCACTGGTAAAAGAATTTGTCCATATGGCTTCCAAGACTTTGAATCTTGCTCAACCACCTCGTTTCACTGTTCATGGCGGTTCAAGTAAAGAGAGTTTAGCTCTTCAAAATATACAAGCTAGAAGTCGTATGGTTTCAGCATATTTACTGGCTCAGTTAATACCATGGAAATGGAATTTGCCGTCAGGTCTGTTAGTTTTAAGTAGTGCAAATCTAGATGAAGGACTAAGAGGTTATTTAACAAAGTAGGTTACTATTTGTTAAACTTTCACCTAGTAAAAATGCAGTTTGACAACTTTTCAGTGAGAAATATTCATTGTTATTTAAATTTTTCGTAATAACCAGTTAATATAATGGTTTTCACTGCAATAAGTTCATGATGAAAATAATTACCCGATTAACTTTACTGAGTTCTGATTTGGTCAAGTTTTTGACTGTCCCAACAAAAAAACGTCCAGATAAGGCACAGGACAAGTGGCTAACTGACTTGCCATGTATGTGAAACAACTTATTCATTTGATACGACACATTAATCGATTAATATCATTTCGCTCGAAACTTTATTCTTGATCGTAAGCTGCAAGTTAAACTACTAGGTAAAAATTCTACTCGTCGTATGATATTGAAAGTGAAATTCTGTGTTACCAAGTTTATCTGAACTTAATATAAATTAGCTTTAAAACAGACCGTCGTACTGGTTAAAGCATTTTTTGCTATTAAGTTGTGCGCTTAAACCCCAATAACATGTACTTTTTTCTTGGCATCCGAGAAGTGTCATTAACCTTCAAATAACCAATGTTGATCGAACTACACAGGGTCATATCTAATATGAGAGGAAAAGATTATCTTTGTCTCCAATTTAAAACGAATGGTCAGTAATTTATTCGATAACTTCCTATCATGTTTTGCAATTATAAATAACAGTCCAAGGAAATGCCGTAGATGAAGCCAGCTACATCTTACTAAAATAAATTTATTAATGTACTTGACTTAAATTTGGTTATTTTTTACTTATAGCTATATAACCTGGTGAGAATTTACTAAAATTAAGCGCATTTATCGTTCATATATCTTTGTTTCAGTGAAGTAGAAATCCCTTAGTTCTATGAAGTTATCACTTCCTTGATGTTATCCAAATAATCCAGTCAATACTGTTGTCATCGATAGTTATCCCCTCAATACGCTTTGTTGCAACTCCATCTTTATCTTAATCGGTGAACTTACGAGTTACTTCCACATACAGTGGGATGTTTTGTTACTGAGATATCGAAATGATAACTTTTAAAGGTTTAGTTAGTTTTTAAAATTGAAATTTACGGCACAGTAATCACTAAGAGGTTTGTATGTCTTATTTTCGAATCTAATTGACACTTTCCGGTTCCCAGTATTTTTTAAAGCTGAGTTTAATTCGTGGCTAGATGTATATCATGTTGAGCAAACTCTGGTAAAATTAGACCGATTACATATGGGTTTACACTCGTATTTCGTGAAATCTCGAAGAACACTGGTTTCATCATAATTTCGTAAGTTATCTCTATCACAGTCCGTCTCCTTAGGCTATTAAAAGTATCGACTTTTCTTAGTTAATCATCAGCTGAAAGAATAGTGCGATCAAGCGGTTTTTCGGATTATTTAAAAAAATCGAAAGTATCATCAAGTAATGATATCGACTGAAGGACTACTAAATATCACAAAGCGCTGAACAGCTGTTCCGTAAGATCACCGTAATAAATAATAATTTTCCCGCTAGTCATTAGCGTCGGTATGGATTTACCAGTTTCTAACTTGTAATGAAAACGAATTCAATAAGGGATTAAAAATGGGCTACAGCGCTAATTGACTAACATTGGAAATGTGGACTATTGGATTCGATCCAATGGAATGAAAGTACTGAGCTCGGTGGGATTTGTCAAGTAAGCGACATATGATATCTCAAACTGCATGGTAATCAAAAGCTCCTGGATTCGGTAACTTGAGGAAAGTAAACATTTTGAATGGTTTGCTTCCCTTCCTTTATTATGGTAATTTCTCAAAACAAGCTCGGAAAAGTAAGTAGAGGATCCTTCCAGTTTTCAATATGTACTTTTTATGAAGCATTAAGATGTTATATTATATCAAGGTAGTTGGCACAACTAGTAACTGCGATCCTTTTCTTGTGATAAGAAATTATTAGACAGTAAAGCAATTATGTTAAGAGAAAAACCACTATTTTACTACATAAAGGATTTTGCGGGTAATTTGCTATCTTGTGTTTTCAACTTTTTTTTCTTAGGTATGACTGTTCTAGTGCAGACTTAAATCCTATTGGAAGTATCAGTAAGTCAGATTTACGATTGTTTATTGCTCACTGTGCTCAAACGTTCCCAAGTTATATGGATTCTGGAAGTGGAGTTGAACTTTCGGAAGTATTGTTAGAAATCTTATCTGCTCACCCAACAGCTGAACTAATGCCACTTCAATCTAACGGTGAAATTAGTCAGACAGATGAATGTGAAATGGGATTGACCTATGACGAATTATCATTATTTGGTAGACTTAGAAAAATATCCAACTGCGGACCTTACAGTATGTTAGAATCATTATTGGACGGTAGTTGGTTACTGATTAAGAAGGTTATGCCTGATAGTTGTTTTCAAAAAGATGGGAAACCTGGTGCTGAACTTGCTCAATATCTTAGCGAAAAAGTGAAATTATTTTTTCGTTTTTATGCTATCAATCGTCATAAGGCTACTGTTTTACCACCAGCTTACCATACTGAGGCTTATAGTGCTGATGATAACCGGTGAGTTGATCTTTTTCTTCTCTGTTCATTTAGTCACAGAGTTATTAAATACCCTTATCATTGTATATGTGCTTATCACCCCATAGAACAGGAGAGATGTATCTGGAGTCGCTAGATCTCTGTTGCGGGAATGAGCATATTTCGCGAGTCAAATGCAGTAAGACCAGTTATTTTTGAAGTCTCCCAGATGACTAAGTGATATCTGTAGTCATAGGAACTTGACTAAGATGACCATGGGTAGCAACTAGATCACAAAACTTCATAATTTACATATTATGAATTCCGTAGATATAATTGCTAAAACCACTAGCTTTTCCTTTCTGACAAATTAAAGTTTATCTAGGTTTGGACCTAACATTATTGTTGCCATCAGAGGTAGTTAAAATCTACATCGTAGAATGTTTTAGCAGAACACGTTTATAAGGAATATCGTTCACTTGGTTTAATATCAGCATCACTAACACTTCTAAGCTGTTTTCTGAGCAATTGGCAACATAATACAGTTCATTTCATTTGGATGTAAACGATCACACCAGATATGAAGTTACATCATCCGATGAAAACACAAACCACTCTTGATTGGAAAATCTTTTTTAACTACGAGGCAACAATAAATTCAGCTAACCATACTGGAGTAACGTGGAGAACCACATGAACAGAAACTTTTAAGGATAAATATCAGTATTTCCAATTAATCATCTGAACCTTGATGAAGCTGTTCCCACCTCACTATATATAATTGTGTTTAATTCCGAAGTTCATGGCTATTTCATGATGTCTAGCCTACAATATGAATTTTATTACAATTTTACTGCTTTCAAAGTGCGAGTTCATACAGTGTTTTCGAACCCAGCCTACGCATCACCTTTACATACTTATATTTTCTCACATAGAAACGCAATTTCGGTAGGTTTCTAATCAAACACTAATGGTTAGTTTGGACGTGAACTAAAACTCGATATTGTATTTTCATCTTATTATCTGTCGGCATAAATCTCATGATGGTGAAACCGCACTATGGATTGGAATCTGTGTACAGAATCTGTTGTCAAAATATCCTATTTTAAAAGCCATCATATTATACACATTCACCCTCATTTCGTTTTCTGTCCTCATTATGAACAGATAGGTAAATATGTTTATTTTCTCTCCACAGCACATTTTGCTGAAATGTTTGCAAGAGTGGTCTTTCAAGACCTACCTCGCCATATGTGTTCAAGCACACATGCAATTTAATTTGATAAAGAGCGGTATTTATTACTGTCATTCATGTCCTGTTTGGTTTTGTAATAAAAAAACGGGTTAAATTTTGTTGGTTATGCTGCTCTGGTCTACGAAATGAGTTCTGATGATCTCAAACTAACGTCATATCCTAACATATGGTTTCCCTATTAGTCATCTATGTAAAGAGTTTAGATTCTAAAATCCGGCCAATAAATCTTGATAGGTACCCATTTCATATCCGCGTTTTTCTATCGGTTTGAATTCATTTTCATTCGTATATTTTGTCTACATACATCTGACTATTAAACAGACCCACCATCAATCCCCTGTTTGTAATGAACACATCAAGCAACTATGAAAATGCGATGGGTTTTTTCCAAAGCAGGAATTTCGTAGAAGGAACGTTTGGTCGATTCATCATCTCCTTTATTATTAAGTATTGGATGAAAACACAAGCATGAAGACATTTTTTTCCGTTCTATAACATTCTTATCACTATATCCAGTGTTTAAAATTAGTTAAGACAATCGGGATGCCCGATAACACAGATCATTTCCAAACGCTAAATGATCGCCAAGCACCGTCTTATCACACTAATTCCTGTGTGTAGGAGTAATATAATCATCAAAACCCTAGACCATGAAGTTTTGGTGTGACGAGTAAGACCATTAGAGACATACTAAAAGGATTAAGCTATTTTCAAGATGTCAGAAATTAGGTTGATTGTGATGACGAATTTAGATGTGCAGCTATAGACAATTCGATCCTTACATCATAGAGTATATTTATAGCTCATTATAAGAAGTTTGTAGGCGTTGTGTTGCGTGGGCAGGGTGCTATAGTCGTGAGGTTTTCGCTGTCTTCCTAAACATCAGCATATTTAAGCAAGTGGGTCATCAGAATTCGATTCCAAGAGAAAATCAAATCAACTAGGTATAATTAATTATCTGTTCATTCTGCTTTGTTAATAATAAAGCTATATTGTATGTTTACTAAACATTTTGCATCAAATATCCACGCTGCTCATTTTAGGTTTGATTTCCGTCCGTATTTATATCCTAATGACTGGAATTGGCAATTTACTTGTCTAGATTTACTGGTAAAGAAATGGATAGAACAATTCGAGTGACTCTATTCGGATCGTTTTATTTAACGACCTGTTTACTGGAACATTTTTCTGATCCTAGTCAACCTATATCATTTAGAATTATTTACATATTTTTCCACAATCACTGCAGAATTATTCTTTAGTGTGATACTTCCATAAGTTTTCTTATGTGATAGTGTAATTTCTCTGAACATTCTGTATCATAACTTTATTAAACCTCAACGAGTGACTTATCAATGATGATTCTAAGACCTAGTGATGATAAGGTAAAGTTATATTATGATTTCCGTGTGTTGCGTTGAGATAATATGGGCGAGGTATATCATTGCTAAATACGTTCTTAGAAAATACGACCATAGAGGTCGTACCTTTCTAGAGCTACCCATGACCCTTCACACTGCCATTTATTTTATCAGCATTACAACACCTAAGTACTGTTATATGTGAATTAAAGTATTTAAATCAAGTAATTCTTAAATGGTTTATAACCACATTTTAAGATAATTGAGTAATCACCACAAGGACTTCCTACTAGCAAACAATGAAGATCTAACCCACCGATGTATTACATAAACTTCTCCCAATATTCTAGTGTGTCATCAATATTGTGCTTTTTATGATACTGAAATAGATATCCTGAAATTAATCTGTTAAGATATCATTCTCACTTTGTAGCATAAGAGCACGTAACCACTAGATATCATCTTCATAATCAAAAGTAGATCTTCAGGATTAACAGTACCAGACACAGTAGCAGTAAAACGTTATGGTCGAATCAAGGAGTATATTATATATACAAATAGTTGCTTCATAGTGACATTATCGCTTCTCACCACAGAAATTCTGGATTATCGCGTTGAGCCAGAAAATCGCTCATTTTGAACACTGCCACTTCAGTTTCATTCACTGTCAATTAGATCAAATATATATATATATATATATATATATATATATATATATATATATAATTAAGCTAAAATGTCTTTCTGGCTGTATAGTCGTATTTATAATTAATTAACACACAAAGCGGTTCATTGAAAAATAGGAGGATTACATCATTCTAAACGCCAAAAGGAAGTTCCATAAAACTATCGAGAATTTTAAAAAAGAAAATACGATAAAACCGAATCTGAAAGACAACTGTCTACTTAGGGAGTATGGTAAAGGTAAGGAATAAACTATACACGTGGTGATAATAACAAATAATTAAAACAGGAGGGTGTATTAATGACCAAATTACCGTCCATGAAATTAGGTGTTGGGGCTATGGAAGATAGACGATAGTTTGCACATGTCACTTTTGGACAAAGGAACCAGGTTTTGGAAAGATGCGCCGCTAGCTCCGAAAACACGATAGACACGGAACTGTTTGAACTTCGACAAATATCAGAAATGCTTATCCATCAAGTTCCATTGAATGAAATCCAATCTACGATCTCCAAGACCTACAGTTCTAAAAAACACTATGAACGCTGAGCTTGGGAGTGATAATGCCTAGTACATTTCGAAAGATCATTCAACGGCATCTTTGAGTAAAACTCTGTAGTGCTCAGATCGTCACAATCTTTTTTAGCCACCCAGTCGTTCGTGGATGCATAAAATATAAACTGTTACGTCATTGTGTATTTATGAGTTTACTTTCTATATCAGTGACATAAAGCCAGTGCATTTCCAAACATGCGTGGCTTTTGAAAGACCTAAAACAATCAACAGCTAAATGCCAGAGCATCTTATTAGATTGAATCACACGGCCTCATCAGGTATCTTTCAGAATCACCTACATTCAAACGACTGGGTTCGAGAGGAGTACAAGTCGATTACTTGTGCACTGCACAAACATACGCAGCTCGTCTTTTCAAAACCTGATTTCTTTGTCCAAAAGTGACATGTGCAAATTATCGTCTATCTTCCATAGCCCCAACACCTAATTTCATGGACGGTAATTTGGTCATTAATACACCCTCCTGTTTTAATTATTTGTTATTATCACCACGTGTATAGTTTATTCCTTACCTTTACCATACTCCCTAAGTAGACAGTTGTCTTTCAGATTCGGTTTTATCGAATTTTCTTTTTTAAAATTCTCGATAGTTTTATGGAACTTCCTTTTGGCGTTTAGAATGATGTAATTTTCCTATTTTTCAATGAACCGCTTTGTGTGTTAATTAATTATAAATACGATTATACAGCTTGAGTAAATCACATCGCTAAACTCGGTAACTCTTCATTGGTGACACTTGATTATTTTAGTTTATATACTTATGAGTCTCATGAGGTGAGCGTACGTGCATTAAAACATCTGGTCCTTTCATTAAAGTTCGAACGCGACACCGATTTGCATACATTTCTAATCAGTTTCAGATAAGCCGGTCAGCCATAATCAGGGCAAATCTCGCTTGAACACATCTAGATTTTCCCATTGGAATATTAGTTGTACAAGTATATGGCATTGTTGATTCATGCGGAAGTAATGGCCCCAAGCCTGACACACAACTTTTAAGTGGTTATCGGACTTATTTTTATTAAACTCATGCTTTACACAACCTTTGAATCCTTTATTCACCTAAAACGATTAATAAGACTCATTGCAAAACTATAAATCATTTTATCATTCCAGGTCTTTGTACCTCATAGACTCTGCGCCTATTAAAATACATTAACGGTTAGCAAGTCAATATTTCCTCAATTGATTACGTTTTTTCACATAATTATAAAAATATTCGTACATGAAAATAAGAGCGTTGACATATCTGTAATAAACATACCTATTCCAAGAGATTCTAGAGTTAAGTCCGAATTGCTCGGAATAGGATCACCTTCTAAATCAATTAACAGTTCTCCAGACTGGTAAAGAGAGTATTATAAGACATAAATCTTACCTTTGTGTTAAAAGCTTTGTGGCGAACTTTCAGCGCATCTTCGAAAGAGCATAAAAATATATATAATGAGAAATTGAAATAAATCCTTAAGATTGATTGAAGTAGATACATCGAAAGCGGTGACAACAAATGTTAGGATGTTAGTTAACTAAATACTATTAGGAGAGCTTTAAAAAGATATCGAAAACTCTAAAGGGGTCGGGTTTATTGCGTAATTTTGTTTGGTATTTGTACTTGTATTTTACAATTAGGTTATGACTAAGGATCTTTTCTCAAAATGGCATTAACGTACACTAGAACATTAAAACAGCTAAAGTGGGACTAGTTTTCGCTCTTACTGAAGCAAGTATATTAATACACTACGTTATTATAATCTTAGTACCTAGGATACGTAATAATACATCTTTCGAAATTATCAAGCAGGTTGGGATAGTGCGCCAACAGAGTAGTGGATTAAAGAACCTACATTTGTCGTCATTGGGAAATAGAGAAAGTCAAGTCGGGTTTTATAACACCAGTCAGATTACCAAAAGACTAAGAAGCCTCCTGAAGCATATGTTTCCCTGAAATCAACCCGAATTATGTAATTAGTGAATAAATGATTGAGTACCAATGGGTGTTCATCAGGTTTCTATTATGAGAGTTAAATTACTAGATATTAGCTTACCGTAACAAAGGTTCTTGAAAGGAGGAGGTATAACCGAAGAGGTTTTTACTTCTAAACATGAATATTGTAAAGTATATCTAATGTAATGTTTACCATGATGTATGCGATCGAACAGGTCTTTTACAGTCGCCGACTGAGGAATGTTCGACAAAGGCAAATAACACGTTGTACGGTACTTGAATGAACGTATAAAAGTCACAGGAACAGTTATACTCTGGCTCATTTGAGTTAAAGCTTCTAAGATCTCTGGAAAATGATATATTGGAAATATAGTGACAACTGATTGGTGATAATAATTAATAGTACGTGACTCCATAAACTAGGCGTACTTGTATCGATTTTTGAGCTTTTCAACAGTCGTATAAATGTTATGTACACAGGGGTCCGATTAATCGTGGTAATAAGTATCAATTATATCGTTGAGTAACTTAGCAAAATGTCGGAGGACTCACTCCGTGATATGTATATTTCGAGCCACTACTACGTATCAGATTCACACCAATGGCATCAAAACATGCTTTTCTAACTAACAATCCTTAGTAAACTATTCCACTTTAAGAATAAAATTGGTGTAATTATGCTGCAACACTTAATACCCTGATGTGAGCGGATACTTCAAAGTGTTTCTGAGCTGATAGCTTGTTTTGAGCCTGTCTTGTAGACGATAATGACTCTCACCTGAAGGATACAAAACTCTCGTAACATGGACACAATTTGAAGAGCATTAAGACCAATTATTGAGGATTTAAGATTTGACAGTGAAAGTGTACTGCTGACTTTACCAAAATCTTACGGGGACGATTTTGACTACCAACATTCCAAGGCACCGGCTTCATAAGAATGTGAGAACGGGTTACAAAAACTAGATCTTCAAAAAACACTGCCGAGTCAAATACTAAATAGCCAGACGAACCTGAGCTTTCGCTTTATCCCAGCCAACCAAGAGACAGCAAATACTAGTGAATAATTTACCACGCCAGGATATCAACTTTAGGATTCTCACGTTAAGGTTGCAGGATGTTCATGATGAAGTCCTTCATTCAGTTTAATTTCTGAGCCCTATATGCCTCGTTACCCTGAGGCAGTCGTTACATCTAACATAAGCTCCGTGGCATAGTAGTTTATCATATACTGGTTTACCTTTCCCTGATGGAGTTAAAATGGACTCGTACGACAGGACTATTCGTCAGGTGGACGACGAAACCGCTATGAGACGGATGTCTGCCTGTGCATAGCGAATTATCAGGAACACCAGCTGCATTCCAGTGATACAAATTTCAAATTTGAGCTAATCTCGGAAGTGTTGTAGCTTTTAGTATTATAAGTTGGATATAATTAGGGTCAGGAATTAGATTTGGGGTTTTCATCACGAACTGACATCATCAATGGTGCCGAATAAATAATAAACAGGTTTCGCGCCAAAATCTAAGGCCTGTTATCGTGAATCCGTCTAGTTCGCCTAGAAATAATAGTCTCGCCGACACTCAGTCTGCCAATTTGGTAGCCTATGAACTGAAATATGATGTAGTTGTAGTCTTTTTCGCTTCGCCCACGTACAATAGTTTGTAGATATATTACTAATTGCATAAAATCAAAGAAGTTCGACCTACTGGGAGACTCGCGCCTATTCGCCTCCACGACCTTGAACGGCCTGACATGTGACTGCTCTTCTGCATTTCGATCGCTGTGCGTTTGATGTGCGTCTATTGGTTCACACGCATTTTAAATGTTTTCATATTCAAATAGTATTCCGTTTCAATAAAACCACAAAATCATTGCAAAAAGCAATAATGGGTTTTCTGTGTTTTGTAGTCTATATTTTCGCTTACCCATTGCTCTATAACTTCGTCTGGGACATCAATCGCTCCAATGAACCTTACCGTCTTTGTTCAAAAGCTGATAAAGTCTAGGAAACAACATATTAATAATAAATCAGCAGTTCTAGATATGCAAAACGTTTGTGAATCGATGTTTTACGCCAGGATTAGGACGAGATATCAAATAATCTGTAGTGACTCACATTTATCACGAGAACACGACTGGCTTAATAAAAACAATTATTATAATCAACTGTACCAGTGTTTGTTTTAATATGCTTTTGTTTGACTGTGCTAATGACATCTATATTGTGCTTCCATTCTTATTCTTACACTTCGATTGTGAGTTCGCGCGAATTTGGGTTACGTTCTGTAACCAAGCTTGTATCCTAGCACAATCTCGGTATCCTTTCGATACCACAAGATCGCCAGCAAATATATCTCGACTTGGTCCATTAACTGCCTTCTGATATTTGGCTTCTCGGGGATTTTATGGATTAATTTGGTTACGTTCGACCTTCGCCTACTGATTTACTTGGCACGTGTTTCTTGATAGCAGTGTTCACAGTCAATCCCAACTCAACAACACGCTACAAATCAATAAACTTTAGACATAAGTAACACTTTCTCTAACTGACAAATTGTTATTGCAATAAGTAAGTTTTTAAAAATAATTATCCAGTGTTCCATGTTCAAGAGATACCTCAGTCGAAATAAGCGAATCATTTTAACCAAAATTACTGGAATGACGTTTCGGAAGCTGAGGTAAATTTGATAGTGCGTAAAGTGAATTTCAACATATAGGGAAAATATAAGTTATCCGTTTTCAGACTTCTCATACCCATTACATTCATGTTGAGAGTAAATCAGTGAAGAACATGAGATTTAAATACATATTTGTTGTGTTTCAGAGCATATTTGGTCATAAGCGTAAACCACAAGTTTTAAGAGTATATGAAAAACTGTTAAACTTTATGTAATGTGTGGCATTTAAAGTCTTAGTTTTTGAATTACCAATTACTGCGGACAGCGAGGTGTGACTACGAAAATAGCTGGTTTGTCACACCATCTTAGTCCAACTTAAGTATGCCCCCAATCATTCACTATGGATCACCTAGTTAGTGATCTACACGTGTAACTTTGGAAGGAGAGACTTACTTACATACGCCTGTTACTCCCAATGGAGCATAGGCTGCCGATCAGCATTCTCCAACTCACTCTGTCCTGGACCTTCTTTTCTAGTTCCATCCAATTCTTGTTCATTTTTCTCATGTCTATTTCCATTTCTCGGCGTAATGTGTTCTTCGGTCTTCCTCTCCTCCTTTGGACTTGAGGATTCCATGTGAGGGCAGGTCTTGTGACGCAGTTGGGTGCTTTCCTCAATGTGTGTCCTATCCACTTCCAGCGCTTCTTCCTGATTTCTTCCTCTACTGGGATCTGGTTTGTTCTCTCCCACAGTAGGTTGTTGCTAATAGTGTCTGGCCAACGGATTCGAAGTATTTTGCATAGACAACTGATAATAAACACCTGTATCTTCTGGATGATAGCTTTCGTAGTTTTCCAGGTTTCCGCCCCATACAGTAGAACTGTCTTGACATTTGTATTGAAAATTCTGACCTTGGTGTTGGTTGACAGTTGCTTTGAGTTCCAGATGTTCCTCAATTGTAAATATGCTGCTCTTGCTTTGCCGATCTGCGCCTTCACATCTGCATCAGATCCACCGTATTCATCAATGATGCTGCCCAAATACGTAAAGGTTTTTACATCTTCCAAATCTTCTCCGTCAAGTGTGATTGGATTGGTGCATTTTGTGTTGTATCGGGGAATCCTGCTTTTCCTTTTGTGTATATTGAGACCTACTGCTGCTGAGGCTGCTACTACACTGGTCGTCTTCTCCTGCATTTGTTGTTGCGTTTGCGGGTTGAATTTGTCAACTGTCCTCCATGCACGATTTTGCAGTGTAATCCGTCATATGAACTCTGTATGATATTGACTATCTTCTGAGGCACGCCGTAGTTTCGATGAAGCTTCCATAGTGATGTTCTGTCCACGCTATCAAATGCTTTTTCGTAGTCAATGAAGTTGATGTAGAGTGGTGAATTCCATTCAATTGATTGTTCCACAATGATCCGTAGAGTTGTGATTTGGTCTGTACACGATCTATCCTTACGGAATCCTGCCTGTTGGTCACGAAGTTGGGCGTCTACGCAGTCCTTCATCATGTTTAACAATACCCTGTTGAAGACTTTTCCCGGTATTGAGAGAAGAGTGGTGCTCCAGTAGTTATCACAATTGCTGAGATCGCCTTTCTTCGGTTGCAGTTGCTGCCACGTCTGCTTTTAGTGCCTCTCTCGGAATGTTGTCTGGTCCTGGTGCTTTGCCACTCTTGATTTGTCTGATGGCCATGCTGATTTCCTCAATTGTTGGTTGGCCAACATTGATTGAGAGGTCCGTGGGTGCTGCTTCGATGTTCAGTGGGTTCAGTGTAGCTGGTCGATTCAAGAGTTCTTTGAAGTGTTCTACCCACCTGTTTTGTTGCTCTTCAATGTTGGTGATTACCTTACCTTCCTTGCTTTCCACTGGTCGTCCTGGTTTGCGGCGATTTCCAGAGAGTTTCTTTGTTATGTCATACAATTGTCTCATGTTTCCTTCTCTTGCAACCTTTTCCGTCGCCGATGCTAAGTCTTCCACATATTTACGTTTGTCAGTTCTGATGCTCCTCTTCACTTGTTTGTTTACTTCTGTGTATTCAGCTTGTGTCTTGGCTTTTTCTGCTCTTGTTCGACTGGTATTCATTTCTGCCTTCTTGTTCCTCCCTTCTTGAATCTTATCCAGTGTATCAACAGTGATCCATTCCTTGTGATGGTGCTTCTTATGACCCAGGACCTCATGACATGTTGAAGTGATTGCCTCTTTGATCCCCTTCCAGTTGCTCTCCACAGTAGTTCCTTCTCCATTGAGTAGATCATGAAAGGCCTGGAACTTGTTGCTGAGGACTATCTTGAATTTGTTGAGTTTGTTAGTATCCTGAAGAAAGGCCGTATCGAACTTTTGTGATATTGTCCGCCCCGTTGTCCTGTACTTCTTGAGTTTCAATTGTATCTTCTCATTTCTGCAGCAATCTGGAAGGCTTTCCCGGTGTCCCACATTGTACGAACATTCCATGTACCTAAATAAATGGTCGCTCTGGTTGTCAGAAGGGGCATCGGCCTCGTAACTTCAGAAGGAATTCGGCTTTCATCATGAGGCGTCATAATTCTTCTAAATGAAGACCTTCTGACTCCCAGAGCAGAGTTTAAATGGTTTGAATAATTTTTTCTGGTTAGTGTTTTTTTAGCGAGTTAGTTATCTACGAGATAGGAACGCTAACCCCATGCCCAACCTCCTCCATTATCCGGGATTGGGACCGGCAGTAGCCCCCGGAGGGACTCCAGGCGGAGTTTTGGAAGGGGAGAACAAGTCATAAAATAATTCAACTTGTTTCATAATCATCCTTGTAGTAGCTCATGGATGGTTTGTAGTTCATGGACGAGAAAACAATGAAAATATTGGCCGGCGATGCTGAAATCACTTGTAGTGACCCACGTGCAATTGAGTATAGCTCAGTCAAGGTCTTTTGTTAACCTATTTAATGGACAAAGTCATCCATGCTATAATAGCTTGTTGTATTTTTATTATTACTGTGCTTGTATGAAATACGTATGCTTGAACAATGTTTAGAGCCTACTCATGCATTCGTTCTGCTAGCTTCATTATTAGCTGCTTAATCTATTCGATGACTCATCCATTTCCCTATATATATATATATATATATATATATATATATATATATATATTTACACTACTACTACTACTACTACTGCTACAGTCGTAGTTTGCTTGCTCATCCATTTCGCCTCTCTGTTGTCTGATCATAATTATCTGCTAAATGAACTGTAGTAGCCGCTTCTTTTTGCATTCTGATTTCAAACACCGTCGAAGATTACATGGTAACGGTATGAGGGTGATTAGTTATCGAAGCACAGCCACTACACACTGTCAGTAGATGAAGTTGTAGAAAGTATTAGGGATTAAGCTGGTAAGCTGATATGAAAACTATGAAAGCTCAATTCTCTACGGGTATATCTAATAAAACAACAAATTCCTCATGCGAAGCAAACAGTATGTGCAGATTCAGTACAGAGACAGCATATTGTTGAGAAATGTGGTGAGCGCTTTGCGATGCGAGTGGAGGGAAGAGTCGAAAAATTTTACTTAGGAATCATTAATAACCATGAAATATATCAGTTTTCTCATCTCTTATCTTCATTTAGTCTGCACTAACATAGAAAACGTGACTCGAAATATAAGTGTGGAGAAGTGACATGAACTGTTTCCTATAAGAAGTCCTTCTTCGTTGCATTTTTAACTTAATTGTATATACAAATCGCAAAATTATTTTCTGCATCAAATGCTGTTCCCCCTTTATACGTAAAAATGATGTGTTGATAAACTTTTGCACAATTCTTATTTTTTGTCTTTATCATAGTTTCATGGAGAGTTGCGACGATGATCTAAGCTTGTAACTGTTTGTGACAAACAATAAACAACTAAGTTCCAGCTTTATAAGCACCTGATTCGTCATGAGATCTAGTCAGTACATGAAGCCACTTCATCAAACAGTAAGTATGCACTCTGACTGATAAATACGTACATCCATAGACTCATGCTGCTGCTGCAAAAAAAATAATTACCAACATTGTAAAACACTAATTGAGCAACAAATATCCGATGACAAGAATGATAAGGTAAAGAACCACATCGATCCACAAGTTTCGCGACAACTTTTCATAGTATATTTAGG